GCTTCCACCTTGGCTATGGTGGAGCTCTACCGGTAGGAGGAGGAGGGAGAAGGGGACCAAGGAGGAGAGTGGCGAGGTACTTACTGGCTATGGTAGACACCATCTTCATCTCCTTGCTAGGCGCTGCATCAGGAAGGCCCCAGTGGGGGTAGTGCCGCATCAAGGAAGCTCGGACAGAGTCAGGCATGGCAGTTGAGTGGGCAGCGGCATAGCTGCTGGGTGATGACCTCGAAGTGGGCAGCAGTATAGCTGCTTGGGGGTTGTCTTTGGTACCGGAGGCTGAAGCCTCAGTTGTCCGCCATAGCCTCGGCCTGTATGCGGAGGAAGAAGAAGGGTTGCCATGGCTATGGTGGACCTCATCTTGTGCCTCCAGTAGAAGTGGGATTCGGACATTGATTCTGGTTCAGCTGTTCAACATTATTATTGTTTATTTATTGCTTGAATAAGAGAGGAGGAGATTAAGAGGAGGAGGCTGTTGAGCGAAGAAGAAGAGCTTTGTCTTTGGTCTATGCTGGAGTACATCATCTCCTTCTTCTTTCTTACTTCTTCTTCTTCTTCTTTCCCTCTCTCTCCTCTCAAGTTCTTTCATTTCTTTTGCAATTGGAGGGCATTGGGCTCAAGTTCATTCATTTCTTTTCGCAATTGGACAACATTGTACTTTCTGATGATTGTGGACTTCAAAATTGGCCAGGATCGTGACAAAAAGCACAATCCTCATTCCATCCAAATTTCACAATACACCCTTCCCAACTGGTCTCATCCCATGCCCCATGTCCTTGTCTTGTGTACCCACTTTCGAAGGTAGCTTATCCAAAAGTAGCCTCAATATGCTATCTTCTAATCTTATCACGACACAGTCTTAGCTGGCCCTTCCATCAGTCATCCTTTGCAAGCTTACTCATACTATACACATTTTGCCCCAATGATTTGTAATAATAAAAAAAAACAGGATTCTTGCCCAACTCTCAATCAACATCTAATGCCTATTGTTGTCTTGTGCCTCAACTTGCCCATTTCCTGGTCCACCCTGTTCCTCAGCCGACTGTCTAACCCCCAGGCCGAAGGTCTCGATTTCTCTTTCCATCCTTACAATTTTCCGTAACTCTGCCTCGTTAAAAAAATCCAGTGGTGTGGCTTCCACCCCTGCTCTTGCGAGTTCCCGAGCGTTGATAATCCATTCGTGCCTGATCACATTGGTCCATTGCTGAAACCAATGACTGGGCGTTGGCCCAAACTCGTCCTCCCATCTGAAAGCCCCGTCGCCCGGCTGGTGCATCGGAGGCCGCCCCTCTTCCCTAGGCCTCGAGATCTCATCCCTCTCATTTCCGCTGCTGATTTCTATGACTTCTCGCACATCCTTCTCCTCGCCCTCCTCGTCTTCTGTCTGTATGGGGCTATACCCATCTGCAAGGTTCTTCGGATCGTAGGTAAAAGGAATCTCTGTCCCCGTCCCATACCCCTCGCAACTGTGTGGCCGCTTCGTCCTTCAAGCGGGCTCTCCCTTCTCTCCTCGTCCTCCTTATGTTCGTCGCGCATACCTTGTCCCCCCTCGCTTTCCCCATGCCAAGTCTCACGTCATTTGCCCCTGTTGACTCCTTCCTCGTCAGAGACATAAACCTTATCTCCCATCTCTGCATTGCCTCCT